TGTATTGTTTTGTCCACTATGCCACAAGGCTGGCTCCCAAGAATAATTTCTATCATCACCTAATTGATCCACGCAAGTTAGAATTGAAAGTTTGATTCCTTTTTAGATGGCTTAAAATTTTTATTAGACTTGAATATCCATTTTTAACTCACTTCCTGTTTTAAATGACACTCATACCTTTGGAGAATAAAAGGAATATAATAGTATTCAAACAGATGCCCTCAATGTTCTAGAAAACGTTGGTGAACATAAAATGTCAAGAAGGCATTAATAAGGAACTTGATTTTCATGTGCATAGCACTTCTTCTTAAAGATTTTGGGTATCTCTGATACAGAACTCATTCAAGGTTACTGGATATTCTTCAAATTCTTCAAAACTAGGAAATGAATGTGGAGGATCCATGGTTAGATCTTTTACATGTTGGTTATCTGAACAGCTCTATAACTATTCTCTGGGATGTCAGTGAAACAGCCCAATCCGTCACCTTGACAATGACCAATCCCTAAATTACTAGCCTGTTAGAATGAACATGCATAAGACAGATCTAAAGAAGTACTACATCAGAAGTTACACATTACTGACATACAGTTAATAATTATGTGAAGGTTTCAATTTATCTAAAAACAAACTCAATACTATATTCTTATTCCTTACCATTGTAATACTAATGGGTAATCCCACACCTGAATATAAACGTTCTGTTATATATCATATGTCTATTTGAGTCATCACAAATCTTTAGAAGAAAGATATTCGTACTCCATCTTACAAATTAAAATGAAGTTCAAAGAAATAAAGTCTGATATTACCCAGTTAAACTTGGCTAGCAGCCAAGATGAAAATCATGTCTTTTGGCCTTTCTCTGTATCTCTCTCACTGTCCACTTTGCCTGTCAAAATAAATAAATAAATAAAAAGAAAATCATGTCTTTTGATGGTAAAGCTTATTTTTCTTCCACATGAGTAAAATGATAACTAAGGAAAAAATTTCTCAGTATCTAAGCCATTTTTTGGTAAATAGTATCTATTTATGAGAGAGGGAGCTTCCAATTGGTTCACCCCCAAATATATGCAATGGCCAAGACTTGGCCAGGCCAGAACTGGGAGCTGAGAACTCAATCCAGGTACATAGGTGGCAGGAATCTAAATACCTGAGACATCACCACTGCCTCTCTGCATTACAGAGCTAGGTGTAAAACTCAGGTTCTTGGATATGGATCATGGATGTTTTAACTCATGGCTGTCTGGGCTAAACACCTGCCCCTTTAAGTCATTTTTAGTCTGTTTATCTGTGATAGCTTCTGCTTCTGCCAATGATTGGTGCTAATTAAAGAATATATCAAAGGTATGCTTTATGTAAAAATAAGACCAGTAAAATAAAGGAAAGACTGGAATGAGAGCTAATCATATGGACTGCAATATGCTTAGATGTAATTACTTTAATATTTTTGTTCGGGTTGTAAATTCATACATATCTTCATCTTAAAACTTAAAAGAGAAATGTATAGATGAACATGATCACCCTAATCACACAGTTTGCAGAAGATAACTTTTTTACTACTTTTACAATTAAAACTCTACATTACTATATATATATGTGCATATTTACTTGTATATATAATATATGTATGATATACATATACACACATGAACACACACATATATGCAATCTATAAAACTTCTGTTAAAAGTCATACTATATATGTTTGTGAGCTGTTTGATTAGTCTACAAATTTCATACCGACTTTTTCATAAAATAGTGTTTCATGGACATCTAAATTTTATGTCTATCATTTTATAATGTCATTACATTGTTTTCATGCGGATTTCTGTTTTTGCTATAAGTTATTTAACAAATACATTACTATTTTCCTGTTTTTTTAATATTCACAATTTCAGGGATACAGCCTCACAATGAATTTGCATACACACATACACACACACATATACATCTTTTAGATAGTCAATTTAATTCCAAAATGGGTTATGTAATAGAGGCCTTTCGATTTTGCAACACTACATATTCCTTGAATACCATCACAAATTTTTATTACCACCACAATTGTAAAGAACTAAAATTACAATTTCTTCACTTTTGCCATTATATATTATGATTATATACAAGTACTGATTTTATTTGTACTTTTGAATATTCAGTTCATGTATATCACTCATTTTCTATTGAAGACCCTGTTTGGTTTTTTCATTAACATGTTCATGTGATATTTTAAGAATATTAGTCCTTTTCCATCTGTTGTGCATATTAAAAATAGTTTCCAATGTTATTGTCTTTTGTCTACGGTATTTTCTGCTATACAAATAATTATAGTTTATTTTTATATTCCTTTACAAAGACCTTTTTTTCAGACTAAGAGCACACTAAAGATATAATAACGTTTGTCTTCTACCAGTATATCATTTTGTGTGTTAGATTTTTATCTAGTGTGAATTGTGTGCTTATGTTGTTTTGTACACTTATGTTATTCTCTCTGATACATTTTGGGGACATCATGTTTTCTTTTGCAGATATAAATGTCGTAACTCTTATTATTCATTTCTGTATTTTAAAGTGCAAGGATAATTTATTTGGCTTAAAATTTTAAATAACATTTTTGAAAGCCCATCTTCATTACCATCCCCTTACTTAAGATTTGGTATGCATCATTCATTGCCTTCTTGAACAATGCTATATTGCAGTTTCTCTGGGTAGAAGGAGCACTTGGGCTTATTTCTGAAATTAGTTTCATCAGCATAAGTCACAGCCTGACTTTAATCTTTGCTGAACTGGAGGGCAAACTGTCCCAGGGACCCTCCAATCACATACTTGTATAGTTCCCTGTTGCACTTTGTGTTCTATGGCTGTTCAATAAGAACAAGCTAGCAAAAAACTAGCTATGACATTTACTCCAGGTAAATATGCCTATGTATCACTTTTCCAATTTTACTGAGGCATAACTGGTAAAGCATGAATTTTTAAGGGTTATGATATGATAATTTGATGTACATATAGATGGTCAATGATTACCACATTCACATATCCTTCGCTTCACCTAGTGTGATTTTTCTTTAAAGATGTATTTATTTATTTGAAGGACAGAGTCACAGAAAGACAGAGGCAGAGAGAGAGAGAGAGAGATCTTTCTTTCTCTGGTTCACTCCCCAGATGGCTGCAATGACTGGAGCTGCACCGATCCAAAGCCAGGAGCCAGGAGCTTCCTCCAGGTCTCCCACACAGGTGCAGGGGCCCAAGGACTTGGGCCATCTTCTACTGCTTTCCCAGGCCATAGCAGAGAGCTGGATTGGAAGAGGAGCAGCTATGACTTGAACCAGCACCTGTATAGGATGCCAGTTTTGCAGACCGGGGCTTTAACCCACTGCTCTACAGTGTCAGCCCCTACCTAGGATGATTTTTAGAATAATTTTTAGTTTTATGATGTTTCTTTGAGTAATCCTTTGATATACTTAAGCACTTTGGTTTCTTGAATTTGTGTTAAATGTGAGATTTTCTTTTTAGGCAGATATTTCATAAGCAAATAATCCAGAAACCTGAGAAAATAATGTGTCACTTCTGTTTAAACTAAAATCTCTTCATTAGTCCCCTCACCTGTTGAACAGAATTTTATTTTGAATAGTTGTATGTAAAGATTCACCGTGCATATTCCAGAGGGTAATCGAATCTTTGAAGGTAATCGGCATCTTTGTAACCTAGACCTAACGTGATTTAATGATGTGTTCAAATCACACAATAACTGGTGGAGAAAGGAGAAATCCAATATGTGTACACAATGTCATTGTCTAATGGGAAGGAATACAGTTTATAATTCCTTACCTCATTTTTTAGGAGATTCTGTAATAATGTAAGAAAATTTCATTAGTCTATATTTGTCAGTCAACATACAATACAATATCATCTATAACAGCATAACTTGGATTACTAAAAAAGTGAGAAAAGCTTTCAATTAATATCTGTTTCCATTTTAAGGTAATTATGTTCATCTTGTATTTCAAATATTAGAAAAGAAAATCTATGACTCATTAGAATAAATATAGACTCTTTATTCTCTTCTGTGAATCCATAGGGAGATTGGGGAAAGTTACTTGAAATTTTAACAGTTCTCCTGTTAATTTCTATGCTCACTAAACTGAAAATCAATCTCTAAAGTATTTACTTATATATTTAGTTTTAAAATCTGTGATGATCATGTCAATAGAGAATAAAAATTGTGTTTATTTCATTTTGCAGATAGAAGCTAAACAGTTAAGTTTTCCTAATTTTAGAATAAAATTTAAAAATTTGTTCTTAGATAAGGTAACTACTTTAATATAACATGAAATGTTCTACCCATTTGGATATACTTATAGAAACGATTAACTTTTTTGTATGCATATTTAGTGTTCTCTGAACGATTTAATGTCTTTTTCATAGCAGCATAAAGCTGAATGATCAGAATTTTTGCAAATATTGGGATACTCTTTCAAAATATAAACCTTAATCTGATGCTATTGTCAAACTCAGTTATGTAAAATAACCAAATAAATAAAAGCTACCTTTATTTTTAAAGTTATTTCTCATGATAATTTTGTCTTCATTAAATATAAATTTTAATTGCATGAGTTAAACTTCAAAAAGTTTATGGAAATATATATTCAAAAGATAAATGTATCCTGGTGCAAAAAAATTTGAAATCCATGCACATGGGAGGCTTTTTAAAAATTCATGCAAAACCCATATTATGAAAAAAAACTGGGCATTAATTTCTTAATTTTTGCAACAAAATAACTCCCTTTAGTTCCATTTCTGTGAACTTTTTTGAAGTAACCCTATGTTAATTTATAAAAGTGTAACAATATATTTTTACTAAGAAAAATTAAGTAACTCAGAAATAGTTAATACATTTTATTAGGTAATACAGCCTCCATAACATTTCAAGATTTTTAGTGCATCTGTTTCCAAATCCTTTAAGCCAGAAAGTGAATGATCTTGCATTTTTCTTTGACAGGCTTATGTAGGCAAAGATCTGGAGGAGCAGTTGCGATCTGTGTCCAGCGTGGATGAGCTCATGACCGTACTGTACCCAGAATATTGGAAAATGTACAAGTGTCAGCTGAGGAAATCAGGCTGGCAGCACAGTAAAGAACAGCCCGACCTCAACACAAGGACAGAAGAGACAATAAAATTTGCTGCAGCACATTATAATGCAGAAATCTTGAAAAGTAAGTATCATGGCAAAGAAAATGTGTAATAAGTCTTAGACATCAAATTAGTGAAGGTCACCAACCTGGTCCTCTAACATCAGAATTTGTTCTACTGCATATACCTTTAGGGATGAAAATAAAATAAAATAAAGAATTATTTTTAAAATTCAGCATTTTATGATTTCACATTGAGCATTTAAGTAATTTCCTGAAATGCATAGATAGAAATGTATAAATGCATGTTTTTTTAACCCCACTGTAAAAATTTAATTATATATATACAGATGTATTTACACAGCATGTGAATTTATTCATTTAAGTATACTGTGTCTTACAAAATAATTATACATAAATTTACTCTCTGATTTGGATTTAGAAATGCTTTATTTCTCTCAAAGCAAACCCAAATCACTTATGAGAGAACACTGCTAGTTGCCTTGAAAACTGGCTTAGAGCTGGACTTTTGTAAGGCTGAGCTACATAGTATAAAGTTTCACAAAAGATGGTGATGCTGCATATAGCAGCATAATATAAATTAGTGGGCTGTTTTAAAAATGAATCCCTTCAGTTGTTAGATATTAATCACTATAAAGGTTTGATATTGCAAAATATTTTGAGAACACAAGCAAGCAAACACAATGGCTTCATGGTTGAGTAACCAACAGTTTATGTCCTTTTTTTTCCAAAAATTTTATTTTAGGGAAATATGGGAGACATAAACTAGAACACTTAGGAAGTACATCATATGTAATGCAGTAAAGAGTCAACAGTGTTATAGGTAAGCCACTAACGCATTGGAAAGAGAATTCCAAGAGAGCATGAAGGGGGTAGGAAAGTTTGATTTTCCTGAACAAAGTTAGTGTAGGGATACAAGTCTCAGTTGATGGAACTTGGCCTTGCATTTCACATAGTTATTGTCATTAAATTACCTACTATTGTGAAATAGCCTGCCTTTAAATGACTTTTGAATGAAGTCCAAAGCCATAGCCATCTTCTCATTTATATCTCAGTTTAATAAGAAAAAATAATATCATTAAATTGGGTCTGAGACCACGAAAATATAATATCTATTATAGCAAATGAACATAACTCTATTTTTGCACACCTTGTAAACATCTATATACTAAATTCTTATTTTATTAAGTATAAAATGCCAAACATCAATGTTGTAGGATATTAGTGTATTTTTAAGAGAGTGCAATCCTAATTTAGTTTATTATGTGGCTATAGAAATGATTTTCTTAAGAATATATCCTTAGGTGTTCTGTTAAATATTATGTCACAATTTAGTATTCTATCAATAGTTTCTCTAAATTTCTACTTTTAATTTTAAAATCTGAAATGAAATATGAGTGGCATACAATTGCTGTGGCCTTTTTTCCCCTTTGGTGGCTTCTATATGACTTACAAACTTCCTATGACTCGACAGGTATTGATAATGAGTGGAGAAAGACTCAATGCATGCCACGTGAGGTGTGTATAGATGTGGGGAAGGAATTTGGAGCAGCAACAAACACCTTCTTTAAACCTCCATGTGTGTCCGTCTACAGATGTGGGGGCTGCTGCAACAGTGAAGGGCAACAGTGCATGAACACCAGCACAAGTTACCTCAGCAAAACGGTAGGTATTCCTTATTTCAGCCATACCTGAGTACCCTTACAACCAGAACCATGAATCAGTGTTTTGTGGTTCTGATGATACAATGTCACAAAGAAAGTACTCATGCTTTATAAACTCTGTTCATATTGTAGAATCAAGGCCTAATGAAGAAAATAATAAATACATATATGCATATATATTCATGTGTTGTTCTTTAAGAATAACATTTTCATTTGCCAGAAAAATACTTGTGAATAGTTAAGTTTCATGGCTATAGAGGTACAGCACAGATTTCATATTCAGAGTACATAACTACATGCACATGATCTGTGAAATGGTTGTGCAGTATTGCAAAAAGCCAATATACTGAACAAATGCATTTTGCTGTTTTCAAAAGCAAAATAATGCCAATGTTAAATACTTTGAGTAAATTGTAAATCCCATTGTATTCGATGTTAAGCATCTAATTAAGGAGTAAGGAACTTTTCTGAAGGTTCAGTTTGGATCTGAGGTTTTCAAAGCAGATGCACAGATGGGTGTTGTAGGTCTTCCGTGACAGAGGGGTCAGTGCATATAGGGCGTGAATATTTGCTGATGATAACCATGAGAGTGTTGTTGGAAATCCTGGGTGACACAGAACGTTTAGAGCAGTCCAGTGCTATGGGCTAGGCTATTGCAAACTTCTCCCTGAAAGACAAGACCATGGTTGCCCTGGGCCTAAAGGCTTTTCCAAGTTTTTTTTTTTTTTTTTTTTTTTTTTTGACAGGCAGAGTAGACAGTGAGAGAGAGAGACAGAGAGAAAGGTCTTCCTTTTTGCCGTTGGTTCACCCTCCAATGGCACTGCACTGATCCGATTGCAGGAGCCAGGTGCTTTTCCTGGTCTCCCATGGGGTGCAGGGCCCAAGCACCTGGGCCATCCTCCACTGCACTCCCTAGCCACAGCAGAGAGCTGGCCTGGAAGAGGGGCAACCGGGACAGAATCCGGCGCCCCTACCGGGACTAGAACCTGGTGTGCCGGCGACACAGGCGGAGGATTAGCCTAGTGAGCCACGGCGCCGGCCTTTTCCAAGTATTTTTGAGAGTTGGACTAAGTATGGGCAATCTGGCTAAATTCAAAACTACACCTTTGACCTTTGAAAACAAAAAAGAAGTTGTTTCATGCTCCATGTGATTTCTACAAGATGGAATGATAGCAAATTAACATTTGCATTCCATACAAATTTTAGCTCGTCTATATGGTCCCAACTAATAAAAAAAGTATGGACTCTTTTTTTTTAAGATTCATTTATTTTATTTGAAAGGCAGAGTTACAGAGAGGCAGAGGCAGGGGCGGGGGTGTCTTCCATCTGCTGGTTCATTTCCCAAATGGCTGCAATGGCCAGAGCTGAGCCAATCCAAATCCAGGAGCCACGAGCTCCTTCTGGGTTTCCTACATGAGTGCAAGGGCCCAAGGACTTGGGCCATCCTCCACTATTTGCTCAGGCCATAAGCAGAGAGCTGGATCGGAAGTGGAGAAGCCAGGACTCCAATTCTCACCTATATGGGATGCTGGTACTGCAGGTGTGGCTTTACCAGCTGCACCACAGCGCCGGCCCTAAAAGTATGGACTCTTAATGCAATGTAAATAGAAATGAAACCTAAGATTGTTGCCTAAATTACTTCAATTGCATTTTCCCATCCAGTTGAAAATTTCTAAAGTATTTCCTGTAAAGAGTATTTTTTGGTCCCTAAGTATTTTGTTTGTTTCTTAAGATTTGTTTATTCATTTTGAAATTTAGACTTACAGACAGGGAGGGATAGACACACACACACACACACAAACACATACACACACACACACACACACAGAGAGAGAGAGAGAGAGAGAGAGAGAGAGAGAGAGATTCTATCTGGTTCACTCCCCATATGGCCACAACAGCCAATCATGGGCCAAGCAGAAGAGCCAAGAGCCAGCAGATTCATCCGCAACTCCCACATGCAGCTTGAACAGGGACTCAAACACTTGGATCATCTTTTGCTAGTTTTTCCAGGCCATTAGCAGGGAGTTGGATCAGAAGTAGAGCATCCGGGACACAGACCAGTGCTTATGTAGGACGCCTGCATCAGAGTCAGCAGCTTTACCTACTAGGCCACAATGCCAGCCTCAGACTCTGAGTTTTGAAACACTGTCCAATTATTCAACTCAACTGCATTGCCATTTTTTAAAATTTCTTTGTATTATTCACACACTTAATGAGTAAACAAACCATTTCAGACACAGAGATTTATAGGAAGAAACAGAAAAATAAATTACAGAGTTGAATTTACTCCTCTCCCTTCTGTCTAAACTCTAAAATATATTAAAAAAATGATGCTTTGGGGTCTTATATTATTGTTATTATTGTATTAAGTAGGGCCATAAGTAATTTATTTTCTAATTATTTCCTGAAAGTACAGCAAATAATGTACAGCTTATTCTAACATCTATTAGCAAGGAAAACAGTATGGCTCTACATATATACATGCCTTTAGAAACTTTGCCAGTAGAATCTTTTGTTGTGGGAACATTATTACATTTTTCAGTGCTTAAAAAAATTTGACATTTTAATGGACTAACATATAGCTGTACCATTAGGGCATAACAATACTTATATTTGGTTCATTTCTGTCCCTGAATCTTTACTGAGTAACAATTAAAAATTCGTTCACCAAAACAGTGTACCTTTATAGTGTATATACTACACTGTTCTCAACAAAACTTCACTAATTTAAGAGGTTCTGCTAGATATCATGTATTCATCTTATCACAATCCAGAAGTAAAATAGGATTCTTTAACATCCTATCATGTTTGAACCAAAGACTTTTTAAACCACATATAAATTCTATATTATATTACTTTATATATTCAGATATTCTGCAAAAGTAACATGTTTTTAAAAATTAGTATTAAAAATATCGCTGCTTTTATGTTCAAGCCAAACCCCCAAAGGAAATTTTAATCTTCTGAGTCTCTTGAAAATACTTGTTTTTTAAAGTTAGAGAAAACAAATAAGTATTTTTGCAGCACTTTTAGCAATGTATATTGTAAAATAATCTGTTAAGTAATATAATGTCTTCTATATTTTGTTGTTAATTGAGGTGTTTGATTTTAACCATTATCAATTTCGTTGATTTTCAAGAGGTCCCGATATACCAATTGAGCTTTTTCAAAATCTAAATTTTAAATCATTTAAAATCTTTAAATCTTTAAATTTAAATCTTTAAATTTAAAATCTTTAAATCATTTAAAAATGGAATGACATGGAATAAACTAAAATGATAGTTTTGAAGATTTCATCAAGACAAATGTATCTAGTGAGAACCCATTAATCATTTCAAAAATATATTATTTGATTTAGTTGTTAGAGGAAATGTTATTTTCAGTGTTCTCATATTGTTAATATGCAGAGTTAAATAATAACTATTGAGATGTTGAGATTTTCTTATTTGTTCATATTTTGAAATTCTAGTTATTTAGTGTTAGTCTTTTTTCTTGGTTAAAGTTGTTTCCAACTGACAATATTCTAAAGCTCTTTTTAATTGGTAATTCTTCCACACATTATTATGTCTTACTGAGGTAATACAGGGAAAATATTTTAAATGAGTCTTTTAAAATCGTCTACATCCTTATTGTTGGAATCTTTTAAAAAGTTATGTATTCCAAATTATATCTTCTGTCAGTACTGATGCCCAAATGTTTTGTATAATAGTTCTTCAAAGAAACTCCTTTTCTCTATGACACCAAGCTCACTGCCCCACAAAGCAATAATACCACTATATAAAACACTCCAGTCTTCTACTTCTGGTTCTGGATTTTCTACCTCTCTTGTTGAGATGTCATTGACACTCCCTCCTCCTCCTCCTCCTCCTTCTCCTCCTCTTCCTCCTCCTTCTTCTTAACAAATCCAATCTATCGCCAAATAAAATAATTTTCTCAAGTGTCTTGAATCAAATATCTTGAATGTGCATACCACCATCACAGTCCAACATGCATCTGATGCCCTTTCCAACTAATGAGAGAGCACCTTCTCTGCTCTCCTTATTTCCATTACCCCTATTCTTTCTTGCCTCTAAATTGCCAGTAATGGCATTTTGAAAAAAACAGATCTGATGTTACCAGTCTCCAGCATAAAGGCCTGTACATGATTTCCTGCTACTCTGAAAAATAAGACCAAAAGTTTCATCACAGTCTTACCTATCTGGCCAACAGTTTCTGCTTCATCAAGATCTAATGAAACTCTCTGGAACTAACTTTTTGTGCTTCTAATATTCTAGGCTTCCTTCAGTTCCTGGGAACCACCATTTTTCTTCTGTCCCCATTGGTTTGCATACACCTTTAAGTTAACCTGGCCTAATGGTTTTCATTTTCTCTTTACTAAGGTACAGATTCTTCAGATTTCAGCTTAAATGTCAAGATGCTCAAGGAAGTTCGTGGGCAAGATTTTTGCTGCCTCTGTAGATTAGATGAAGTATTTCTATTTAATTCTTTATAGATCTCATACTTTTCTTCTGTTGCACTTATAGCTTGTAGTTACATAGTATAAATCATATATCCACTATTATGTGATTAATGTCTCCTCCATAAAAACAAAAATAGGTCTGTTTTGTTCACAGTTTACCACAGTTACCTACTACACAGTTTGTGCACAAATGCTTTTTAGATCCCATAAAACCTGTTCTCGGCTGGCGCCGCGGCTTACTAGGCTAATCCTCTGCCTAGCGGCGCCGGCACACCGGGTTCTAGTCCCGGTTCGGGGCGCCGGATTCTGTCCCGGTTGCCCCTCTTCCAGGCCAGCTCTCTGCTGTGGCCAGGGAGTGCAGTGGAGGATGGCCCAGGTGCTCGGGCCCTGCACCCCATGGGAGACCAGGAAAAGCACCTGGCTCCTGGCCCCTGCCATCGGATCAGTGCGGTGCACCTGCTGCAGCGCACCAGCCGCGGCGGCCATTGGAGGGTGAACCAACGGCAAAGGAAGACCTTTCTCTCTGTCTCTCTCTCTCTCAC